GTTTAAATGTAACTAAGAAAAGGTACTTTGAGTTGTAAGATGTAGCCTGCTCTATTACTTTTTGGCTTCTGTTCTGTTTCATATAGTTGTGCTACTATAGCCTCTTGCAGTCAGTATAAAGCAGATTCACCTCCTGCACACCAGGAGTAGAGACAAGCTTTGCTGCATGAAAGCAGATAATATAATACTATAATGCTAACACCCCACAGAATATATATTTAACCATAAACACTTAAGAGTGTGGTCTTTATAAGATTGTATTTTAACTGCCTCACGTTTCTCCAGAAAGTACAATTATCCCTCATCAGGCCAAACACTGGTTTGAAACACATATATAGAAACACTCTCCATTAAAGCATGAAGTATTAACAATACTGAAGTTTGAGAGCATTAGTGGCTACACCACAATCAGCTCTCTCCTACCATCTCAGAAAAAAATGTACTTGGTTACAGTAAGTAGAGATCACATCTACAATATCTGAGTACTCAATAAGACAGAGGAGACTGCTATAAGCTTATCTATCAGCATAGCCATTAAAAGGTCAGTTTCTCTTGTTTAAGCAAAAACACCTGTTCGAATTAATTCAGTTTAAATAAAACAAAGTGCCGAGAAGACAATCAATATTTGCATTTAGTTCCAGTTCAGTGGTTTACATAAGATAAAACCGTAGTGCCAGAGAAGTCAATAAAAGCTACAAATGCTTGGCCAACCTTTATCTTAACTTGAAGTTAGTTGCATGCATTTTCACTGTCTCTAGTATCCTTAAAAACAAGAGAAATACTATTTAAAAAAACTATTCCTACCTTTCCCTTGTCAACATATTCTATCTGATCACAGCGCTTAAGGGTAGCATCTACAACAGTTATTTTCATTAGTTTTCATCATAAGGTATTAAAAATGGCAGGTATTCCAAGGCAAGTATTACACTTACACTTTCGAAAGTTGACTGGCTGAAACAGTGAGCAAAGTTTTTTCAGTAATGCAACTTTATTTTTTTTTTTTGAAGTTGAGCATTACAAAAAGAACTTTTTTCATCTATAAAAACACTTTAATGGCCTGACTGTATCTGTAGTTAACAACTCCACTATAGCCTTTTGATCACGTTAATGTTCACACTTAAGAAATATCCATTCATCTTCTACTTACAATAGGCTAGCAGAAGACAGCATATCAGTATCTTCTCTACCTCTTTCCTATTAAGAAAGGAGAACATGACTCAAAGGTATCCAGCGCAACAACACGTTAATGATGGCAAACCAAAGCCATCATTTACACAGGCCAACTCTTGTGTTCAGCACATCAGAACACTAGTTTTGAGCCTCAGCTATACTATTTCCATTGATCAAAGCAAATTAGGAAAAACACTCATGCAAAGTATTCAAAGTACTCAAAAAATACCATCAAGCACAGTTGGAATTTATTTCAGTCCAACTCCAGTTCCTATGATTAAGGAACAAAGTCTGAGGAAAATCAGGTTCATGACCAACTAAGCATACATAAGTCCATGGAACCTGACAAGATGCATCTCAGAGTCCAGAGGGAATTGATTGATGTAGGTGCCAAGCCACCCTCCACGATACTTGAAAAGTCATGGCAGTCAGGTAAAGGCCCTGGTGACTGGAAAAAAGGAAACATTGCACCCATTTTTAAGAAGGGTAGAAAGCAAGACCCTGAGAACTACTGACCCATCAGCCTCACCTCTGTGCCTGGGAAGATCACAGAACAGATCCTCCTAGAAGCTATGTTAAGGCACATATAGGACACGGAAGTGATTCAAGACAGCCAGCATGGCTTCACCAAGGGCAAGTCCTGCCTGACCAACCTAGTGGCCTTCTATGACGGAGTGACTACATCAATGGGCAAGGAAAGAGCTATGGATGTCATCTATCTGGACTTCTGTAAGACCTTTGACACAGTCCCCCACAACAACCTTCTCGAAGGTGGTGAGACTTGACAGGTGGACTGTTCGGTGGATCAGGAATTGGTTGAATGGTCCCATGCAGAAGGTAGTGTTCAATGGCTTGATGTCCAGATTGATATCAGTGACAAGTGGCATCCCTCAGGGGTCTGTACCAGTGCTGTTTAACATCTTCATTGATGATACAGACAGTGGGATTGAGTGCAGCCTCAGCAAGTTTGCAGACGACACCAAGCTGACTGGTGCGGTTGACATGCCTGAGGGACAGGACGCCATCCAGAGGGACCTGGACAGGCTTGAGAACTGGGCCCATAGGAACCTCATGAAGTTGGACAAGGCCAAGTGCAAGGTCCTGCACCTGGATTGGGGCAATCCCAAGCACAAATACAGGCTGGGGGATGAAGGGATAGAGCAGCCCTACTGAGAAGGACGTGGGGGTACTGGTGGATGAAAAGCTGGACATGAGCCTGCAATGTGTGCTCACAGCCCAGGAGGCCAACCATATCCTGGGCTGCATCAAAAGAAGTGGCGCCAGCAGGTCAAGGTAGGTGATTCTCCCGCTATACTCTGGTGAGACAGCACAAATACAGGCTGGGGGATGAAGGGATAGAGCAGCCCTACTGAGAAGGACGTGGGGGTACTGGTGGATGAAAAGCTGGACATGAGCCTGCAATGTGTGCTCACAGCCCAGGAGGCCAACCATATCCTGGGCTGCATCAAAAGAAGTGGCGCCAGCAGGTCAAGGTAGGTGATTCTCCCGCTATACTCTGGTGAGACCTCACCTGGAATGCTGTGTTCAGCTCTGGGGCCTTCAGCACAGGAAAGACACGGACATGTTGGAATGAGTCCAGAGGAGGACCATGAAGATGATCAGGGGGCTGGAGCACCTCCCCTGTGAGGACAGACTGAGATAGTTGGGGTTGTTCAGCCTGGAGAAGAGAAGGCTCTGAGGAGACCTTATCACAGCCTTTCAGTAATTAAAGGGGGCCTATAAGAAAGATGGAGTCAATCTTTTTAGCAGGGCCTGTTGCAATAGTTCAAGAGGTAATGGTTTTAAACTAAAAGAAGGCAGATTTAGACTAGATACAAGGAAGAAATTTTTTTACAGTGAGAGTGGCGAAACCCTGGAAGAGGCTACCCAGAGAGGTGGTAGAAGCCCCACACCTAGAAACATTCCAGGTCAGGTTGGACGGGGCTCTGAGCAACCTGGTTCAGCTAAACGGGTCCCTGCTCACTGCAGGGGGGTTGGACTAGATGGTTTTTGGACATCCCTTCCAACCCAAACTATTCTATGATTCTATGAATTTCTCCTAGAAAAGTCAAGACTAACAAGCTTATCTGTGCCAGCAAGTATATTCTTCTCCCAGGAAAAAGTAGCCAAGCTGAGAAGCTGTTTACAAGAAACAAAGACCCATACAACCTGCTCAAAGTGATCTCATTTTGAAAGATGATACATTTTGCTCTAAACTCTGCCACAGAAGAATTTCTTTTAGTCACAAAAATGTGGCAGTTCAAATATGAATTGAACAATTACATTTGTCAAAACATCAAAACACTTAAAACTGCCTTAAGTCAAAAAATAGCCAAGAAAAAGTTGGATTCGAAGTATGGGGGAGACAGGAGAAAAATTGATCCCCCTTGCAAAATTACATGAACCATCAGGTATAAGACTAACACCTACATACTATATTTGAAGATGAGTTTAAATATATGAGGAAACCACCTCAGAAAAGAGACCACAGCTTGACAGATTTGGAACAAAGAACTAATGGTCCAGTTATCTCCACTAGTAGAAAAAGTGTTTAAAATTAAATATTATCTTTCCCAATAACAGAAGTAGGAAGAAAACCTGAGGATCTGCTAAGATGTTCTAGAAGCATATCCAGAATCCAGTAGTTACAGAATACTGATAATAAGATCAGAAAACCAAACAACTATTTATCTTTTCTATCAATTATCAAACATTGTCAAGCTTTTTTGTAAGTATATAAATGGATATATAATTCAACTCCTCTTTATACAGAGGAGCTGAAAGTTTGCCAGAGTGAGAACCATTGAGAGTTTCAGCCTGAAAAAAATCTGGACCATTTTGAAGGCCATAAATCTTTTGCCGAGACCAATTTTTTTAAACAAGAGACCAAAGCAATATATAAAATTGATGGAGACGTTAAACAGCAGTATCAGTCTTGCAATGGCCAGTGCAATTCAAACACCGCAAAAATTGGTTTTGTGCACAGGGAAAGGAAGGAGAAAGGCAACATTGTAAAAACCAAATCCAGCATGATTTCAAGTAGCTTGGTTTTTTAATGAAACCAGGCTAAAATTCATTCCCAGCTTTAGTCAAGTCTTAGAGGAAAAAAGACTAAATAAAATGTTACCATTCTCTCAAAAAAAAAGTCAACATTATGGCCTGCATAGGTGGAAAGTCAGGGAAAGCTCCATAATTATCCATCTGGTAGTCACTACTCCCAGCTCCAGAATATTCACCATACATCTTCTGCCCAAATAACTAGTCAAAAAGGGATGATTAACACAGATGACCAAGAGTTAAACTAGATGTTATGGGGAATGACAAATTAACAGTAAGAGGATTACAGAAAAATAGCTTAAGATGTCTAGTGGCACTGGTGGTGTTGCTCATGCAACAGCTCATATTTACATCTTAATAAAAATTGCACTAAAGTTGCACTGAGAGAAGTTCAGATGTCAGTTTCTTTAAGTAGACTGTAAAATTTCATAGAATACTTCTCCACATGTTTGTATGATAAACGTATACAGTGAGGTGACACTTCAGATGCTAAACTACTCTCCAGCTAAGATTTATTTTAGGTCTCCTACATACGTGTTAAAACAAATCAGAGATTGTAAAGCTAACTGGAATGCATTGCTACACATTGTTTCTACTAAAAATAGTCATTTCTTCAAATTAAACTAGCTGTAAGCAAGCTGTTTTCTGGACATAGCTATACAGCAAAGCTTCATATTAGACTAAAGCAAATCAAAGCCATGAAGAGACAGAGCTGCTTATTACACCTGAGTGCACCTATATCTCAGAAAATGCAAGAAATTAATTCGTCTTACCCTCAGGTGCATCTGCATCACAGTCTTTAGATACAAATGTCACATTCCTTGGATGGCCATCAATTGTCATATTAGCCTGTGTAATAAATACGGAAAATTAGTACACCAGTAGTGTTCTTCCATACTCAGTGGATAGTCCTGAAACAAATACATCTCCCAATAAATTATTAATTTTATACAAAAGGCTTTGACAAACCTCCTACAATATTCAAAAGGATTGTTTCTGAACAGTACGTGCAGAGTAAGCTGTAAGTGGTACAACATGAACATTTATAAATATGCTTTTATTTAGAAAAAATGAATCTCTTGTGTCCTTTTTGAAGACTTGTGAAAAACAAAAACTTAGTATCTGAAATAAAACATTTTAACTAAACATAAAAATTAATTTGGAATTCAGCCTTGGTGATGGAGACACCGTGGAAGTGTTAGGCTTGCATCATGATACCTAATACAGTTTATTTCTGCTCTGAAAGCCAGAGTATAGTATCCAATATACATACTTAGCCAGAGTGGAGGAAGAAAAATTATGCTGAAGTTAACTATCGAAAACCCAAATTTTCCTGTTTAAATGTCTCAAATCTTTGTTAAATTGACCCTTTCAGAGACTACCTGAACTCTTTATATACCACACTTCTGAATAATCAGTTAATGATTTTAGCAGTCCAATGCAAATCCTTTGTACTACATTGATTTCTTCATACATTAAATCACTTCAAAGGGTATCATATCCACTGTACTTACATTAACCCTCATGATTTCCTGAAGAGGAAGCCCTCTGAAGAAATCAGTAAGGGTCAACACCTTTTCTCCTTCAGGCTGAAGAAAACACATCCCCTTAAAGCCTACCAGAAGTCAGTACAAGCTGCCACATAAAACTGCTTCCCTGACAACTTAATGAAGAAAGTTTACCAGCATTAAATAAATTCAGCTCTCACTTTGAGCATTCAAAAGAAACAGCCAAATGTCCATCCTAAAAAGCAACAGTATGTTGTATGAACAGTTAACTTTGTTTCATGCAAATACATGGAAGCATGGAGACCACCACTGCCTTAGAAGCAGCTGATCCAAAGTAAGTATGATTAGGCACAGGTATCAAGAACTGAAGTGGAACCAAAAGTAAGAGGACAATGGGTAGATAGAAACAACAGAATAAGAATAGAAGACATGAAATTTCAACTATTCAGCATACATTTAGCAGTGAGCCATCTCCTGGAGGTATTCCAGCTGGCTGTCATTGTTACAGCTTACACAGTCATAGAGAGTGCTTCTTTCAAAGAAACAGCATTCTACATCGTGCAATTTATACAGGGGCATACAAAAAGCACAGAACAATCACAGTCTTGCCATTTCAAAATTCTGTCTTCCTTACCTTTACTCATTTTAATTTTTAATTATTACAAATTTAAAATACAACATGCAACAAAAGCTAGACCTGTGGGTTTCCTTCGGTAACATCTATGTTTTGTTCCAGGTCTGATACCATTCTTGTTCTCCATGAACACTCCTGTAATTTAAGGCTTCTGACATATCTGGATTCAACTCCAAATACTTTCCACAAGCTCAAGGCACTGGG